GGTCCTGCTGAATGGCCTGTTATCTGAGCTCTACAGTGATTCACTTGACCTTAATAAAGTCTGAGGAAGTAAATTGGGGAAACGCTAATGAGGAAATTCTTCAACAAAGATATTCTGAGAATAGTTTTTAAAATCTCCACCAAGGTAAACTGAACTGTGACTACAAATGCATGAATATTTAATAAGGTAATCGCTGAGTCAGTTTCTGATTGGTTGTCTGTTGCTAAACAACTCGCTGATACATTTTAGCAACCACGTCGATTACTGTACACCTTTAGCATCTTAATTCGGGTTTAAATTATGACCACAGGTTAAAAGCGGCGAGAACGCATTGGTGGCCTTAACCCGGTATTTAAAAAGACGTTATCACAGGGTTATAAGTGTACTATCAAAAGCGCTGCTTTAAATAGTGCAACGCAAGAATGAAGAGATACCTGCATCACCTGAGCGCAGGGTACACAGTGTACGTCATGCGTGAGGGGCGGGGCTTATGATATCTCCCAAACAGTTACACTCAGGAGCCAGAGCGGCGGCTGCGGCGCACGGCAAACATCAAGCAGGCTGCAACGAACCAACTTTTTGTCCCGGTTGCTTTAACTGAGAATGTCTTTGGGTGACCAGCAGTGGTATCCCACTAGCGTTCAGGTAACGGTGCTCAAAGCGCGAAACCTGCGGATCAAGGGCAAAAATGGCACGAACGACTCCTATGCCATCATGCAGGTGGGCAAGGACAAGTTTTCCACGTCGGTTGCGGAAAAATGCGTCTCGCCCGAATGGAAGGAGGAGGCGACCTTCGATCTGCCGCTGATCCATCAGGGAGACGCGGAGCGGTGCACACTCTACATCATCGCCATGCACCGAGCCCTGGTGGGGCTGGACAAGTTTTTGGGACAGGCTGTCATCAACTTAGTGGACCTCCACGCCAACAGATCACGCAAAAAGACCGAGTGAGTGTCATTTTGTTCTATGGGGAAAGACGTTTGTTGTGTGGGTGTTCGAGTTGTGTCATAAAAAAATAGCCCATTATGACTCTAAAGTGATAAGCTCCCAAACAGTTAATCATAGTATGTTTTGGTTTCTTTTGCATGGACTGATTTCAGTACTCCGCCCTTGTAAAACAATATTGGGCAAGCAAAAGTACGCTTCGTCTCCTGGGAGTTCCTATGAAAATTATATAATAATTATTCACTTCATAAAACGAGTGATCGTGTTTAGTAAAAACTGAGGGGGTAAATTTAAAGGAGTTGTTTTTAATTAAGCTGTTCCACAAGTTCAAAGTTATGTTTGGGTGCAGTCTCCTTATTTATTTGTTTGTTTTACTTTACTTTTTTTGAAAA